CTTTATTTTGGAATGTATTTGAGCATATCTTCTGTTAACATAAGGAACAAATTGTACCGTGTAAGTAATCTTTCGTTGATAGGAGCAGTTTCCAGGACATCATCTGAGCCAGTGCCCTGTCTTTTAACATATTTTGAATACTATAGAGATGCAAAGTGTAATAAAGGACACTGCATCTGAGCAAGGGCAGAGTGCATTTATCTTGCCACTGAATTACATCAGTTAGTCTCAAGGCCAGATGGATTAAGAAAGCACACTTGTGGGTCAAAGGGTGCCTCTTCTATACAAGCTCGAAACCCAGTACTGTTTATGTCAGAATTAAGCACTGGCTGTATCTTCTTTTTAAAATTGGTGCTAAAGTGGCAGTTATTGTAGACATACATGTGGTGCGTGCAGTTCCTAATCTCAGGTAATTCTCTTGATTTTCTCTGCTTTTTTGAACAAATTTAGTTGTATAGCAAAAGAAACTATTGACAAATCTGCTTTCAGGTAACTTTCAGGAGTCAGATGTGCGAGATGTGTCTCTGATTGTGCATAGGTACTAAGCAGGTGTCAGCAAGCTGCCATAGGGTGATGTATTCTTTTCTACATGTTACATTGTACGCAATCCATTCCCCCCCTGTATCTTCCTGCGTAGGTGTTTACTTTCTTTTGCTTGCTACATCTGCGGAACTGCTCAAGGTCAACCAGCTGGAGGTGGGATGGAGTTATGGCGTTGCTTCGCTTATTATGTATCTCATGCCTGAGAACTGAACTTGTGTTTACGTTGTAGAACCGTTGTGTTCCCAGGGAATTGGGCGCTAGTTTTATCTGCATTGGACTCATTGGTCCTAACCTGGTTCAAGTTCCTTTATTATGTTTCCCTATGGGGTCTGTAGTCATTCCTAACAATTCATGTGTTCCTGAGCTAACCATCGCTTTATAATAAATTTGACTTTGTTCTTCAAATGTGGATTTATTTCGAATGCATGGGGAATCGGACAGCAGGCCTGACACTCAAAACTGGCAGGAAAGAAGACCATCTTGGAACCATATGCATGCCAATTGGTGGAAGAGCAGTGTATTTTTGATAACTGAATAAATGGGTGCAGGAACAGATGTTGACTTTTGAATTTAAACACCATGAACAGCTACAGGCATGTGTATCAGTCCCTTAGGTTTAATATGTTCCCAGACTACAATATAAAACATGTATCCAGGGACAGTTTCTGTTTTGATAGCAATGGAGGAGGTCATTTTTATAAATGGAATATGGACGTGGTAAAATGGAATTCTGCGATAGGGCACTTTCTATAAAGTTAGTAGCATTAGTGTTAATTACTCGTGAACATTTTAAGCAGTTTTCTTTTTTTCTCCCCCCCATTGTTGGCTTGTATTATACTGTCTCTATTTCATTGTTCTCTAATTGTGTAATCCAGGTTTTTTGTATGGATTGTACAGGTCTTTATGGTGTTTTTCTAGCTCTGTAATCTGCCTTGAGTCTCAACAAAAAGGCAGACAATAAATAAAAGTATCTGACCTCATCCTATAGCAAAAGGCCTTCCCTTCCCATTTCCCTGCAAATCTAAATGGCAAATCTTGTGGGAACCCTCTCTCAAGCTTCTGAAATAATGCGAGTAACTCTGTTAAAGTGCATTTGACTTCACTGCATATTTATTCTGCTGTGGAAGATAAATTTTTTAAAAGAAAGACCAAATGGCACAGGCTGTTGACTGGGTCTTTGTTTTGCTTTTAATCAGATTTGCTAGAGCTGTGATGGCTAAATGCATTGTTTCCAGTTCCTCAGTAGGTATATTAACCCAACAAGAAGTCCATTTAATAGCTTTGATTTTACTTCAGCTGTCATGTCATAGCTGTCACAGTAACCCTCATTGTTTTTATTTCTTGTAATTAATATTGTGTGTGTGTGTGTGTAAAGTGCTGTCAAGTTGCAAACGACTTACGGTGACCCCAGCAAGGGGCTTTCAAGGCAAGTGAGAAGCAGAGGTGGTTTGCTACTGCCTTCCTCTGCAGAGTCTGCCTTGGTCAAGTATTGGCCCTGCTTAGCTTCTGAGATCTGACAAGATTGAGCTGTACCGTGCCGCCTTCCCTCCCAATATACTTATTACTTATCTATTAATATAACAGCTATTAATATAGATATTAGGTATTTTTATAAAGACTGTATACCGTAAGGCCAGGTATGTAAATCTGCTTGCAAGTGATCATAATGAATTTCAGTACAGCATCATTTCAACTATTGCTTAGATGAAAACAGCAGGCTGTGTAGTGAGGGAGACTTGGAAGCTGGAGGGCCTTTTTGCACAATACATTGTCCTCCTGTCTACCACTCCCCATGTCCAAGGCAAGTCCTGTCTACTAGAGGTGTACTGGGAGTTCCATGCTCAGCACTGAATTCCCAGGTGTACAGGAGCCTGGTTCGGAGCATAGGACGAGGGGATTGTTGCCTCCTGCCCTGTGCTGAGATGGACCTAGGAAACTTCTGTTTGCCCTTCCTAGGAAAATTGTGTGTAGTCCATGAGTACATGCGACCCCATCAGCACATGCAGGTTTCTCCAGAAGGAAAACAGAGACCGATTTCCCACAAGCAGCTGTGCCGCCCTCACTCTTCTGTTTCCCCTGCTTGCATTGGTCAATTTCACACTATTCTCTGTGCGGCCGCATTTTGATCCGCAGCTCTCCCCCCGCTTTTCCCCACGTCGTCTTCTTTTTTTTCTTCAATTAAATTTTTTATTTTAAACACTAAATCATACATATAATTGTCATAACAACAATAACATATTCCTTCTTGTTTTAACAATAAAATAAGTTGAATGAGTTACATTGTTTTACTTTACAACAAATCGTATATTTGCCTAATACCTATACACTATAATGCAGATACTGTGAAAATACTTGTAACTTTTATGATAGAAAAGCCAACCTTGTACTATCCTCCAATAACCAATATAATGTAACCCTTAACACTATGCATACAAGAAGAGGAAACTTTCACAAGATAGAAGAAGATAGACAAAGACAAGAGCAAGTTTCTATGAAATTCAAGAACTATTGTTGTTATATCCAATTGTGGTATTGAGACCATTCGGGTGAAAAGAACTGTTTGAGAGACAAGTAATCAAGTACTGGGTACCATTTTTCTGTAAAACGTCTTCTTGATCCTTGTTTTTTGAGATTGAGAAGACGCGGGGGAAATCGGGGGCGGGGGGGAGCTGCAGGTCAAAATGCAGCTGCACAGAGAATAGTGTGAAATTGACCAATACAAGGGGGGGGGGGAAACAGAAGAGTGAGGGCGGCACAGCTGCTTGTGGGGAATCAGTAAGAGTGATTCCCTAAAACCATTTCAAGTTGGAAAAATGAAGCAAAGGGGATTTCTAAGAACTCTCTCCCTAACACCACAGTCCAAAGCTGAATTGGGCCCCCACATGCTCAGAAATTTACTTCCGAGTCTGAAACTCCCAGGACATGTCTGGGAAACAGGGCCCACCATGGCTGGCACAGATGATGTTTCTCATACTAAGGGGGCATGAATTTTCCATTGTATTTCGTAAAAGGATGGATATGATCTGCATTCCAGTTTGATGTAGTGGTTAAGTGTGTGGACTCTAATCTGGGAGAACCGGGTTTGATTCCCCACTCCTCCACTTGCACCTGCTGATGTGACCTTGGGTCAGTCACAAGCTCTGGCCCCTTGAAAAAGAGCAGTTTGTGTCAGAGTTCTCTCAGCCCCACCCACCTCACAGGGTGTCTGTTGTGGGGAGGGGAAGGGAAAGGAGTTTGTAAGCCGCTCTGAGACTCCAAGTGAAGGGTGGGGTATAAATCCAATCTCTTCTTCTTCTTCTCTTCATTCTGCAGATGGTAAATTAGGACCCTAGATGAATTGCTTCATTTGTGGATCATTTATTTTGGAGTTACTTATTTATGCTCTACTACATCTTAACTAAAATAATTTACCTGGAAGTAAATAAAAATAAGAAAAGCATGGGAGTAGCGTTTGCATGACTTGATTTGTACAGCATACACTTTGCTGTAGCTTGGTAAATTACATATGTTACTATTGAAAATAGATACTTGTCAGTAAATTTGTATTGATGCAAGCTGAAAGACTGGGCTTGAAACTAAAATGCTAAATGTAAGACATAATTATAGTAGTTCCTATAAGGTCATATGCCTCTGGGTAGAAATTTAGAGCCCTTGATGGAAGGATGCTGGCAGCAAGTTTGTGTGGGAGAGAATAAGAAAGGGAGATGGACAAGATACTAAAGAAGGAATGTCTGCATTGTTTTGCTTACCCAAGAACATTTCCAACTCATTACTGTGCAAAGAACATAGAGGTCAGAGGACGCAAAGTGTTCTCTTGAAATAGATCCCATTAGTTGTGGGTAAGGACAATAAACTATTCTCTTTGGTTGTTTACTAGGGCGATAGTTGAACAGACAGTTGTTTTAAAGTCGTTCATGTTTGTAACACTTCAGTCACCAAGTTGCTTGCGAACTGCTAATAAATTGTATTGTTTAGAAGGCTTTTTACCTAAACTAAGTGCTGCTCTTTTGAATTGTCCTCAGGTTTTTCATTCTTTGCGCTGGTGTTCTGCTCCCCCCCCCAATGTTTCATGTGCTATATGAAAGCAGTGCTTTCAGCTCTCTGTTTGATACAGCATAAGAGTCCATTTTACAGACAGCACAATCCTATTTTCTTCTTACTTAGCTGAATTATCTCAGAGCCTGAGGCATTCACAGCTTTGAAATCCTTTCACTTACTGCTTTTAAATTTCCTCTGTTTCGAGTTGCATCCAGAACAGCATCCATTTACAACCAAGAGGAAAACCTCCATGCTTTCCAAAAAGTTTTGGCTCTCTAGTGGATGAAAGAAAATGAACATATTCATAGTTTTGGGAGACTCTTATGGAATGTTTGCTTTTAGTTGATGAGGGGGGATAACTAGTTTCTTTCCACACAGTAGACCATGACTTTTAATTCTTCTTCTTATGTCCTTCACAGGTAAATATGTTTATCAGCCTATGACTCCAGTAGAACTGCTTCCAAGCACCGAAATACCCATTCAGCCTCGGGGAACCACAAACACCATTCAGATATCTGTCTCGCTCACGGAACACTTTTTGAAATTTGCGCCAGTCTTCCAGCCACCATTAACCCCAGATTCCCCGCGATTCTGCACAATCTCAGACCTCTTTATTGACAATTACCGTGTGAAATGCATCAACGGGAAGATGTGTTATGTGCAGAGGCAGCCTCCTGCTCTATCCCATAAAATGAAGCCTCAGGAGGCCCCCGCGCGCAATGCCTTAATTTTGAGAGAGAATAATACACCAAAAATAGATCATTGCTCTTCTCCCTCCAGCTCTGAGGATTCTGGGATCAATGCAGTTGGGGCTCACTATATGGAGTCATGTGATGAGGACACAGAGGAAGGGGCAGAGCTAAGTTCAGAAGAAGATTATAGTCCAGACAGTAGCTGGGAACCAGATGAGTGTCCCCTCCTATCACCCTCACAGTGCGAACTAGAAGTGATTGAAACCATAGAAACCACAGTGTGAAATGCTGAGCTGGGAGCTAGCTAGGTATACTTAAAATAATACTGGTTTTCTAGCATTTATACTGGCTTTTCCCCTCCTCACAGGTCCTTTATTTCCTGTCCCACACCAAGTGACAGTATTAGGCTCTTCTGAATCAGTTGCTTGATCCTAACTCTACTCATTTAATTTCCAAGAATCCCTTCTTGTATATTCTGAAAATTGTCAGATTCTACAGATTTCCTAATAGCGGAATGTGCCTGATCTCAATAAGGGGCACATAATCTGCAGAGATTAGATCCAACTGTGAAATAAACTGCTTTCAGATTATTTTTTGGAACAAGGATTCAACCTTTCATACCCTTGCAAAACAACATCGGTTGGTCAAGCTATAGACATGGGAAGCAGAGCTGACTTTACCAAAAGGTCTTCTTTATCCACTTTGATTTGTCAAGGAGGAGACCAAGATCCATGCTTCTCTCGTCTCAGGCTGTGACATTGGTGCACCCCTTTCTAAATTACCTATGTATAGCATCCTTTTGGGGGCAGCTGTAGAGCAAAGCATGGTGTTTCCCTAATAAGCACAATGCACCTTGCTAATCAGAACTCTAGTTCCAGTGCAAGAAAATTACAGCTACACTTGAACTGAAATCCTATGCAGGGAGGGTTGTTAACACTGCCAGTGGACCAGGTTATATTGAGCAACATTCAGACATGTTTGTTTATCATCACAAGAACAAGCCCAGGGCTTTGTGCACAGCTGAGAAATTGAAGACTTCTGGGTTTGCTGTAAACCATAGTATGTCACTGAATCCTCACCATCTTAACCCTATTCATGGTACAGCAAACATGCATACATCCTGCACATACATGTGTATATCTGTTTGTAAGAAAGAGCCAGTGCACATACTTTAAAAATAAAATTGGGGACCAATACCTGGATATAAATGAGAAGGTCAAATCACACATTCAGGTGCATGGGTGTCGACTGTAATATAAATCAATGCCTATAACAATGAAAAATTAAGCGTGTGACATATGAAGAGAGCTAGGATAATACTGGTGTGCAGGGAGGAAACAAGTGACAGTTTGTGTTTAGGACATAAAGACAAAAGTGTTCATTGCGTACCTGGAAGCTTTTGGTTTCTAAGCTGTGTTTGAGAGATTGGGGGGGGGGGGAGCACGTGAACTTCCAAGGCTCATTCTCATAAATGTGGCCGGATACAAGAAAGGTTGGCACTGTCATTCTAGATGTGGAAGCATTTAATCAAAGAGCACTTGAAAAGGAAGTGGCTAATTGGTCTAACCTTTTCCTTCTTGCACCAGGTCCCTCTTTAACAATTTCATCTCATTAACTGACATAAAACAGATGAAAAATATACTGTGGTCAGGAAAGTCTTTTGAACCCCCTGGTGTATTTGTGCCTCAATTTGCATTGTACACAGTCAGGTTTGGGGAATGATTCCCTGCTAATCAGTGTACACTTGGTGCCCTTTAAGTGACATGTTCTGTCTTGGAAAATTGGAGTAGTTTGCCAGTCATGTGCCATTGGATGACACAAGCTCTTCCCCCAACAGTATGCCATGACAAACTCATTGCGAGTTTTATGATTCAGCTTTGTATGAGATGTTCTTTTAAACTGGGATGTTTTCTTGTAACATTAGGGCTTCTAATAGTAAACACAGCCCTTTTAAAATACTTTTGATTAGTTCATTTTCCATAAGACTTGGTGAGGATGAGGACATATAAATATGTACAGTTGTAGCTCTCAGTACTAGATTATCTTATGCTGTGATGTAGAATGCTGCTCTCCAGCACTGTCCTAACACATTACTAATTTTTCTTAAACTCTGACATAGGCACCTTTTAGAAAGCATTTAGATTACAATGTGTTATGAATTACTATATAAACTAATACTCTACTTAAAATATTTTTTAAAATGCCCTGAGAAGAAAAACGAAATATTTATCATTCTGAAGAATTATATTAAAATGGATTTTCTAGCAAATAGCTAAGAAACTTGTTTCTGGCCTCACAACAAGTATAATAATTTCTCAGCACTTGTGGAGATGGAGGCCATTGTGCTAATGGCCTGTTACACAGAGAGAGAGAGAGACTTCAGATTCTGTGCCCGCTATATGCACCGTTCTTTTTTCTCCAGTGTATCTATTCTGCAGCTACAACCAAAAGCTGCAGTTTTTCTTAATCAGGGTGGGAACGTCACTTGTGACATGTGGGGGGTGGTGTCCAATTTTTTTTTTTTTAAAATCACGCAATTGCCCTATTGCAGCTGTGCAGTAGTGTCAAGTGAGCATCTTCCACTTAAATCCTCATGGGTCAGTTCCTTCAATGAAAGGGCACAGGAAGGCAGGCAAAGGTACAAAAAAAAAATCCTGAAACTGACCAAACATTTTTTTTTTGAAACTGACTAGAGCAGCTGCAAAGCTCCCTTTTCTTATTGCCAAGCTCTACTGGATTCTCTGTTGTGTTATCAGCCACTGTGAAAAATGAGAGTCACCACCCTCCACCATCCCCCTCTTTCTTTGCCACACAAGCGCCCTTGTGAATTGTTTTTTTAAAATTATTTTCCATGTGGGTTTAATTTTTTTAATAAGCGGTACAAGACTAGCAATAAAACATTAATTTAAATCCACCATATGTGAGTGCACAGTAATGCCAGATCTACATGCACTCATGGGCAGGAGACTGGAGAAAGAGAAGGGAGAAGAAGGTTAATGGGGGGCAGGAGAGAGAAACCCCCCAGCGTGACATCCCAGTTGATTTCCAGAAAGGAGCTTGGAGGCATTTCCCCACTTGCTGGATCCAAATTCCGTAAATCCAGTTTGCTGCAAGAACAAAAGGAGTGAGCTCATGGCCAAAGCACTCAGAAGGCTTGCTGGGTATTTTGGGATACTTGGCTGGCTGGGTTAAAGCTTTCTTTCCATTTCTCCCACTGTCACCAGCTGGGCATTGGCAGTGGCTGTGGTGCTTGCTGCTGGGCTTGATTGGTGCCACACAATGCTGGTCTCTCTTGCAAAGAGGCTTCTCGGAGAGCTGCCAGAGAAGCACGTTTTTTCCTTGTCATTTCTTTCCCACCCAGCAATCAGAGACTAGCGATAGTCTCATATCACTAGACTAATGCCGCTTGTAAAAAACATTAAAAACAATGAGGGAAAAAGTAATCGATGAAGCTTGTACACCAATGAATGGTGGAAGGTACAAAGTGGGCAGAATGACCTTGATGTCGGTGGGGAAGTGACCTTCAAGGGGCAGCAAAGGGGTGGGGGCGGAATCCAAGTGAATCGGTGTGCTTTTGAATTACCTTTGGCTTGGAAGTGACATCGGCACAAAACCACTCTCAGAAAACCCAGGAAAACAGTGACCGGAAAGTAAACTGAGCACTGAAGGGGGGAAATCAATGCAGAATGAAAAAGAAAACCCGATGGAGATGCATGGCAAAAGTGAGGGAAAACACCTGTGCATCATGGGCCGATGTTTCAAGAAAAACTCTAGTTCATGACAATTTCATTAAAACTGGTACTGTTTTTTACATTAAAGTTCTTTCTCAGATGTTGTACTACTAAGCATTCTTATGGTTTTACAATGGGAGGAAAATGCATACAATAAGATTGTGTTACACTCTTGTACCTGGGGATTTGAAATGCATTTTATGATCTGACTGTCTTAGTTTGCAATGGGTTCTCCTCTTGCATGTGAAGGGAGTCAGGTGTTCTAGCTTTGGCAACCGCAGAAGGGACTTTAGAAATAATTTCAAATTACACTTGGGATGGAAACCAGAGCAATTTCTGAGAGCACACCTTAGTTTCTTCTATTATGCTGAAAAATCAAGAAATTGACTGTGCTAAACTGGGTAGCAGCTACAATTGAACCACAGCTAGGATTAGCCTAATATATTCTACATTGAGAAACAGGGCTGGGAAAAATTCAGTACAGACTTCTATGGGACACGCTTTATTAAATATACTGTTAACAATTAGTAATAGCTGCATACCACATTAATATCTTAAATTTGCTCTGTTTAAATCTTAAGCACAGGGGCAGAACATGGCCTCTCTGCAGCTCTCTGGGTAAGCTATGGCAAGATTTGGTTAGATGACTTAGCACACAACTGTGTAAGACATGGAGTCTCAAAGTACCCACTAAGGTACCCTACTGTTTCATGTACATTTGTCACAAAATAATAAATGTGAAGACTGCTTTTGCACAAGCACAGAGTAAACAGATTTATTTTCCACACTACTGTGCTGGTACCAGGAGGGGAAAAACTCTTGCAGCTTTACTATGCAATGCCTTGTGCCATCTTTAAAAAGGAAGTCAAAATTACTTTAAATGGCTTAAAGGTAGCAACTCGTTTCAATGCTAGCTGATTGCAGTCCTTACACAGGAAGCTCTGGAATGTCTTAACCTTTCTTATAACATCAAGCATGCAGATTTTTTTTCTTTTAACAAAACTTGTCCTCTGCTCACAGACTAGGTGAGAATATTTCCCTTTCTGTATGCTCTCCTGTACGTACTGAAGTTTCCTCTGCAAAGCTGGAGTTTTGAAAGGGAAAAAGGCGTTGGGAGGAACAGACTGGAAGAAGTGGTTGTTAGAAAGCACACAGCATATGAAGGGGCTAGGCCACCACTTTGAGAATAAAATTGTACCATAGCCGTACTGGCCAGCTGTTGCTTCAGCATCCTAATGGTCTTGACTTGTTTTTGACTAGATTCTTAATGCTTAATTGATCTGTGTCAAGAGAAATCATTGCTTCCTATAAACTACCAGTTGTTTGAATAAGGACTAAATGGCCCTTTAGGCCAGTGGTACTCACTCTGTGGGTCACAGACAGCCACATCTGCAATTACGATCAACCAGCAGAGTCACATTTGCTTCCACCCCAGCATGATGCCTGCAGCTCAGGGAGGCTTGCGGCTTAACTGTATCTCTAGCAGCAGGTATTTCTTAGTGGGAACTACCAGCCACCTAGAAGCCCTCAACAGGCAAGGGGCTTTGGCTACTTTTCTGAAGCATAAGGCTGGTGCCACCTTTGGGGAACAGTACTCAGAAAAGCCACATGTGGCTCCTGAGCCACTGAATATTACTGCTTTAGGCATAAACAAACACTGACTCTGACTTAAATTGTATTTGTATTTATGAATGCACTCTAATTCTAATTTCCAATTTTGCAGTAGTTTAACCATTGCCAATCTTGAATTTGAAAGTAACAGTCAACTATTGTCCATACAATATTTAAAAGCAGTGGTTGAACTTATCTTGGGTTTTTCTTGTTAAATCTGCATATGAAGGTATCAAGTCAAACGATCTATGATGATCAGTTGGAAATAAAAAGAGCAGCAAGGGGTATCCTGTGCCTTTTGGTGTAGTGGTTAAGTGTGCGGACTCTAATCTGGGAGAAGCGGGTTTGATTCCCCACTCCTCCACTTGCACCTGGCTGGATGACCTTGGATAAGCCGTAGTTCTGATAAGAGCAGTTTCTGTCAAGAGCTCTCTCAGCCCCACCTACCTCACAGGGTGTCTGTTGTGGGGAGGGAAAGGAGTTTGTAAGCTGCTCTGAGACACCTTTGGGTAGTGAAGGGCAGGGTATAAATCCAATCTCTTCTTCTTCTTCTTCTTCTTTAATGGGTATGCAGAAGGTGGAATTGTGGTGGGTGCAGTTGCTTTCACCCTTGTGTAAGAAGCTTCATCTAACCAGAAATCTGTGTTCTGCTCAGCTGTTAGAGAAATTGCTGTTCCCCTGTTGCATCTCACACTGTTTCTTTAAAAAATTAAACATATACTAAGGAAGTGGTGATGATGCCCCTCTTACAGCCCCCCCCCTATAGCTCAAGATCCAATCTGCTTATGAACCAGTTGAAAATGGTCTAGGCCACCAAGGAGCTGTGCACCAAGGCCTCAAACAGAACAGATGGCTTTCCCAGTACTGCTACCTGTGATGGCTATAGGATGGATCCTTGGATATTCTGAATGCACAAGCACGTTCTCTAGCATTGATCTATGTCCCCTCTTTATGGGGAGAAATACACATTGTCAGTGTCATTTACTTAAGTGCCATTACCTACAATCTGTCATATAACTGGACGAATTAACAAGTATCAGCAGCTCAGATTCTGATGAGAAGAAACTCTGGATTGTGGTAGAGAATGTATTACCCAATTCCTAAAAAGAATCTTGATTAACAACACACATATGGAGTTCTGGGATGGAGTTCAACCTCTTCTTTATGCACATTTAAAAGCTGGTAGCTACAAAATGCTGACTGATATGTGGTATTTCAACAAATTCTTCAGTTTGCTTCAAACTGCAGGGAAAGGAAGTACTAGGTTCCTAATGCAGACACATACAAACTACTGAAAGAGCATTGTGCTACCGCCCTTAGAGGGCTGTTGGGTTTTTTTTTTAATCTAAAAACTCTTTGAACTCTTCCTAATCAGATTTCCTGAGCTCTCAACTGTGCATTAGCATACAGCATTCCCTTACCCTAAATATGAAGTGACCTTGCTCCAGCATGGCAATTATCAAAAGATCTTGGTCAGCTTTGTAAAGTTATTCTTATCCATAGAACTGTCTCCTTTCCTCTTCCTCTCCCTAATGGAACAAGACACTCAGATGAGTTTTTTGCTTATTATCCTGCTTTTTAAAAGGAAAAGGAAAAAAGAACGGTACACATTAAACAAAGATGAACGTTAACATTTGGCTTTTCCATATAATAAAGACATGTTCAAAGGAGCCTGTCCTATACAATCATAGTTCCCTTACCAGTGTTAAGCTGAAAGGTGTGCTCTCTCCCTCTCCCTTCTATGAGTTCCTTGGCAGGTTTTATTAGGAATACACTTGTCACTGTATCTCACAAATAATATTTAAGAAAGTAAAAGAAGACTGCTAGAAGAAGTTGGAAAAAAGATAGTATAGGAGGAACATGAGAAACATGCATTATTTAATGAATGTAGAGCCCAGATTACTCTCCCATTCAATCAAAACTAATAAAGCATTTCCAATATACTCTAGCCAGAAAGTAGTCAAAATCAAGAATTCTGAATGACTCTAAGCAGGGGCTGAAGGTACAAATGCAATTACAGACAGAGTTTGAGTTCTCCAAGCAGAAATACAGAATCATTGTGGAACTTGTATACGTAAAGAATTTTTGACAATTATCAGTCAGTACATAAAATGATAGGGTACAGTTTACTTGCACTACATTAACGCACCGGCCAGTAGCTTGCTGTCCCTGCTGGAGGCTGTATCAGGCTGGGCGCTGGAGCACCCAAGGCTTTTAGTCTTGGGTGACTTCAACGTCCATGCTGATGATGCGACCTCTAGCCGGGCTACGGACCTAGTGACATCCATGGTATCGCTGGGACTCTCCCAATGTGTATCGGCCCCTACGCATCAGGCAGGGTACATGCTCGATTTAATCTTCACGACAGGGATTACAGTGGACCGGATCACTGCGAAAGCAGTGCCATGGTCGGACCACTATGCCCTGAAGGCCTGTGTGAATGTCCCGCCCCAACCCTGTATAGGCGGCGAACGGATTTTAGCTCGCTCGCAGAGCCAAATGGACCCAGTGCGGCTTCAACTGGCCCTGCGGGATCCGATGCCCCCTGGTGGTTCGTTAGATGAGCTTGTGGGTGACTGGCATAGTCGACTTTCCACGGCCATCGACGTGATCGCTCCCTGGCGCCCTCGCTCTAGGCTGGCCCCCTGGTACACCCAGGGGTTGGCGGCTGATGAAGCAAGAGCTAAGACGGCTAGAGAGATGGTGGCGCCGAGCCCGTGACGAAGCTACAAGAACATCCTATAGGACGTTTATGAGATCCTATGAGATGGCAGTCAAGGCTGCGAAGAGGGATTTCTACGCAGCCAGGGTTGCGTCCGCTAGCTCTCGCCCAGCCCAATTATTTAGAACAATTCGGGCTTTGACGGCTCTGCCACAGGGCAGACAAAACAGTAGGGAATTGGATATTGGCTGTGAGGCTTTTGTGAGCTGTTTTGCGGATAAAGTCTTGTCGCTCCGCCGCGACCTCCCCGCTACAGTTAATACAGTTAGCAAACTTGAGGCTCCTTGCGCATCTTTGACTCCGGATTTAGAATGTTTCGACCAGCTCAGCCTGGAGGAAGTCAACAGGTTGCTTGTTGTATCTATGCATCCAACCACGTGCGGCCTTGATCCGTGCCCCTCCTGGCTCATTAAAGCGGGCCACGAGGGGTTTTGAGGTGCCTTGAGGGAGATTATTAACAAGTCCCTCCTGGAGGGCTGGTTCCCTGAGGCACTCAAGGAAGCGATGGTACGCCCTCTCCTGAAAAAACCAACTTTGGACCCAGCTGAATTGGCCAACTATTG